ATCTTTGCGATCTGCAAGGAATCGGCAATGACGGAGCGAGATTTTCCATCGGAATTGCACGTGATGGAAGATGCTAAATAAAGCATTGCGCTGCCAATCAGATACTCCGAGCCGTGCTCCCGTTTGGGTTGTGGATCTCGGAATTCTTCATTGTCTCAGTGGGAATTGGTAGTGAGCTGTCATGTTTGACTGGTAGCAGTAATGCGTACCACCAAGTGTGTTCTGTTACCTACAAGAATATAAGGGGTATTTAGCTATCCTGCACAGCCATTATGTGCAGAAGCGATGCAAAATAACATTCGTCAATATGCTCAATCCAACAAGTAGGGCAGCTCGCATTCAAAATATATTTGTACATGTCACATTACTATAACTCCTCGATTAAATCCCTTGATTTTTAAACATTTATAATAAAATTGCGTGGCGTCTACTTCATTCCTACTACTTGATTTCTTTGTATTGTCCTAGAATACTACCTTTGCCCACAGGTTGACATATTACTTAAAGTCACCCGCCAACCAACCCCCCTACATCCAATCCCACGATGCAACCAACTAACGAAAACCTACCACAACATAAGCTTTCTGGACCCAGTAGCGCCCCCATCTACCGTAAAGGCTGTACGCCTAACATTGGACAAGTTGATAACTCCATTTTTCCCCCTTCCCCCAAACTAGCGAGTAATGTCACGGCCTGACGAGCGACTAGTGAGGCACTATTGAAGTGGGTGCCCCCTCCCTCCTTGATTATTTCTTTTTCCACCTTGTCCCGGTGAGGTGGTCGGTTACTCTCCATTATCATGCTGGGGGTGTCTTATAACCCACAGAAACAATCTAAACAATACAAACATCCTAACAAATATTGAATACAGATCGCAAAAATATATATAAATTGACCGACACTAATACATCAATCCCACTTTCCTACAACCTCTCAATCATCTTCACTATAACACAACCCCCCAACCAAACCTAGATACTAACAATCTACAAAAGAATCATTCCGGTACCAGACAGCACACCCACAGCAACAAACACCACCAACTGACCCAACCCAAGCGTAGCAGTGTAGCTCATGTACCCAGGCACACCAGCAGAGCTACTCTCCGAACTACTGCTGCTGGAGTCACCAGTGCTAGTACCGGCAGCAGCAGACAATGACACGGTACCCGTACCAGCGGTGCCAACAGCCTTGAGCAGGGACGAACAAGTACCAGTAGGAGAAGTAGTGGAGGTAGTAGTAGCCGAGCCAGCAAAGTCACAGGCGGAGGCACCGTTACCCTTCTCCTTCTGCTCCTCGTAGTAGACGTTCAAGGCCCAGTTGAGCATCTGCTTGGTCGTGCACATGCTGTAGGCGCCGTACTCTCCGGTCGTGGCGTTACCGGTGATGCCCGCGCACACGCCGTAGCCACAGACGGTGCTGTACAGGTCGGCGTACTTCGTGCTCGACACGCTGTCCTTCACCACGCACGAGAGGGTCTCTTCCATGCAGGAGCAGAGTTCCGAGTTGGGGGCCGGGGGCAACGCGCTGGCGGCTTCCCAGCTTGAGCCGACGGTCGGGCACGACCGGGCGGCGGTGTTGGTGGGCGTGTAGCTGGCGCTGTTGGTGCCGGTGGGGCTGACGCTGTTGATCTCCTCCGAGTACGAGGAGAAGCCGGTTAGGGTGCTGACGGAACCGTCGGAGATAGTGACCAGACCTGGATGGTGTTAGCCATGTGTCTTGAAGTAGGATTCGTTAGTGGCAGGGAGGGGGAGGAGGAGGAGGTGTACCGTAGTCGTTGGCATCCTGGAAGTACTCGTAGACGATACCACCGGCGAGCCAGTAGTCCATCTTAGGGCCGTACATGACGGGAACGTTGCTGAAGGAACGGGGCTGGACGGTGATACATCCATACTCGGAGAAGAAGTAAGGGACGGAGTAGTTGCTCAGGTCCTCGGTCATGACGTTGTAGCCAGACTCAGTGTAGCTGGAGTCACCGCACCACTCGTAGACATTGTCACCGAAGAAGTCGACGGAGTCGTCCGAGTCACCGCAGTTGAAGTAGTCGACGAGGTCAGTACGAATCTCGGAGACATCGGCGGCGGAGTAACCGACACCGATAGTGCGGTAGTTCTTGGACTTGATGTAGGCCTTCATGTCACGCACGGCGGCCTTGACGTAGGCACTGGCACCGGTGGTGTTGACACTGTTGGAGTTCTCGTTACCCGCGAAGAAGCCCAGAGTGTTGGTGTAGTTGGCCAGCGAGTCGACCACGCTGGCGTAGTAGTTGTACAGATCAATGGTCCACTCCGGGTCGCTACTGTCGATGGAGTAGTCCGAGGAGGACAGATCCGCCAGCACATAGATACCTGCGTCGGCGAACAGGTTCATACAGGTGGTGTGATCCGCGTCTGGGTCAACGTCGTAGACACGCACCACGTTGGTGTTGAGTTCCTGCAGGTAGGGCAGATCCCGCTTGCAGATGGTCTCGTTGGCGAGGGGATCGACGAAATCGACCGTGCCAGCGGAGGTCGTCGTGCCGTCGTCATCATAGGGGGCTGTTTTATCATTAGTTTGAGGCAACAGGCCTAGTGGGCATGTTAGGTTGCTGCTTACGCTGGTAGGCCACACCACGGATGAAGCTGAGGCAGGTTAGCAGGTGCTGATAGAGGATAGAAAGAGAGGGCAACATACAATTCCGTGCCGTTGTTTTCGTAGAAGAATTTAGAGCCCTAGGAAGAGTCAGCGGGATGAATAACTGGATTGGTAATGGTGGCTACCTTGATGACAATGGCTGGGGCAGAGGCGACAGCCACGTCGACGAGGGCAGCCGCCGCTACAGCAGAGACGGCGAGCTTCATAGTGAGGGGAACGAAAGAAGACGATGCTATAGAACGAGTGTGGTGGTTGTATTAAGATAGAGCGAATGTGGTGGTTAACGAGAGGAAGAAAACCAAACAAAAAGGCTAAGCAAAAGGATACAAGATGGATGGATGAAAGAAGAAAGAGAAAGAGAATCTGGAACGAGAGACCAAGTGGGAGGGAGGAAATGGGAGGACTAAGAAGGAAGAGATGGAGACCGGCGAGGCGAACCTTTGCTAGTCTGGACTCTTATTAGTTGTTAGTTGTTAGGGCCGCAATGGCCTGCTGCCTACGGAAAAAGCCCATTGGCCCCCCTGAAGGTTGTGTCAGGATGAGCAGAGAGACTGGGCCTGATGGAACGGCGCTACCATTGGGGGAGCCAGCCAGTCTCTCTGATTGAGTAGTAATTTTAGTACTTTTACACTAGTTAGCTGACAGCCCCCAGCAATAATGATGATGATGACGATAATAAAATCTTACGCGGTGGTACAAAGAACACCAGCGATATGGGAATCCAGCAATTAGGCTCGTGAGCGACATCTTGGCTGATCTCTTGGCTTTGCTTAACGATTCTTGGGGGTTCCCACGCAGCGGGTCTCGGATCCAGCCGGCTTGGTGACTGGCCGATCGCTGCTCGGACATGGATAAGTTCTGTTCCCCTTTTGCCCCAGTCCACGCAAGATTTTTACTAAAATTACGACTACTTCGTACTTAGGCCAGGGAAAATGGGAGGGTCACAGGGTCAACAGGGTCAAAAGTCCCTATCCCCATCGCTGTGAGTCCACCAAGCCCCTGAATCCAGGGTCAAAGGGTCACCAAGGGTCAAAAGGGTCAAAAGGGTCGAAGGGACAGGCAGAAATCAATCAGAAGGGAATTAATTGGCAATGGTGCGTGCCTCGGAGTTTAGGGCGATTCTCGGACAGCCGACACACACAACCCCAACTGCGCCATGGTTACTCGTCCCGAGGGGGGAAATTCTCATTCCACGTGCCATGCAGTGGACACATCACCCAGAATAAAAATAATCACAACAATAATGTTACAGTAGGATGAGAGGCAGTGTCAGGAACGGAAAAATGGAATGGAAGTGCCCGCTGAATAATCCCGCATCCTTCGGTTTGATTGCTGTTGACGCGTTGCGGGCGATGATCCCAGCCAGTGGCCGCTCGGGTGCCACCCGGCGGGTGATTTCATCCAACCGGTTGGTTTCAGATGCGCGGCCTTGGGGGCGAGACTGGTACGACTGGAGCAGACTGGACGAGTGATGGCTGGATGGGCAAAGCAAGCATTTTTATGGTCGATGACACCACTGCCCACTCCTCACTCTTCTGCTCTGTCGAGTAGCGATCGGCACTGGACGTGCGGCCCCCGGAGATCCGTCGGACTGCCGATACCCGCCCATTCGGGTTAGTGCCGACACAGACAGAACAGAGGGAGAGAGGAGAGTGAGAAACAGAGCGAGACGAGTTGAGGGTTAGGAGAGAGATATGTGTGTGAACCACCATTCATTGCGTATGATGTGTAGTTTATATTAATTGGGTCGTTGAGCTCATTTATCTCTCCCACAGCCAATGCCACCTCTCCATGGTCCTCCATCGGCTCACATCGGTGCAGACATATCCCTTCAGTGAAAGCCGACCGTGCAATGACTGGACAATCGCCTTATCGGCATCTGCATGTCTTACAGAAATTCAATTTCACAAATGACAAATTAGGCTCGTATACTAGTGGGCCAGGGTTCTGGGGATGCCGGCCTTCCAGTGGTTTATTATTGAACCAACGTGAAGCGATGCCAACCGAACTCCCATGCCCTTATCGAGTCCAATGAACTCGTTCGGATTGCATCTGCAGATAGTCAGATACAATCAGCTTTACACACTATGTCAGCGTTTTCAGATCCTGCCTTATCGCGTCCTACGCTAAAAATGCTTAGCCTGCAGGGTTGAGTGCTTGACCTTGTGCAGAGAGACCCTGTGCATAGCGAGAGCCACTCCGCTCTGCAGCTCTTATCGTAAGTCCCATGTGGCAACCACCATGTGCTGCTGCTGCTGCTGCTTCTACCAGTGAGGCTTTTTCCCGGGCTGGCCTCGTATATAATGCAGGCCACCCCTCCTGCAGCGTCGGGGACATACCGTAGAGTCAGACCTCATTCATCGATCATGGAAAACAAGTCGGCTAGTGTGTCTCCTGAGCAGGAGATACCGAGCTACAATGAGAAGCCGAGTCAGGAGTCCCCTGCCTTAGAGCCTCAAGTGCTTGAAAAGGGTCAGACGGTGCGCATTGGCGAGGATGATGACTATGACAGCGACCAGGTGGTGAGCACGGCTCAAGATCTCGTCACTCATATCATCAAGGTCGAGGATGATCCATCCCTGAACCCATGGAGCTTTCGCATGGTCTTCTTGGGTAATATTGTCTCCGCTACGACGTGTTTTAGTTGCTAAGCTCCTGTAGGTGCCGGGCTGTCCATCTTCGGCGGTGTGCTCCAGGAGATCTTCTACTTCAAGCCGCAGACCATCTACGTCTCGCAGGTGTTCCTCACAGTCATTGCCTATATCTTGGGAGAGCTCATGGCATATGTTATCCCTCGTCGTGGTGCCATCGGAAAGTTACTCAATCCGGGCCCTTTCAATGCCAAAGAACATGCCGCCATTTCCCTCATGTCCTCCGCCGCTACACAGTCCGCGCTGGCCACCGAGGCCTTGTCAGCCCAGCAACTCTTCTACGGAGGCTATCCTAACCACGCCGCTGCCGTCTTCATCGTGCTGTCCTCTCAGCTGATTGGTTTTGGTATCGCCGGTCTGCTGCGCGATGTCATCGTGCGACCAACCAAGATGATCTGGCCCATGACCCTGCCCATCAGCAGTCTGTTGGAGTCATTGCACAAAGACAAGGCACAGTCCAAGGCACGGTTGAAGATCTTCTATATTTTCTTCTGCATCCTGTTCTTCTGGACCATCATTCCCGAGTACATCTTTCCCCTTCTGGAAGGTTTCTCGATTTTCTGCTTGGCCGACCAACACAGTCTAGTTTTCACGAACCTGTTCGGTGGTGCTTCCGGAAACGAGGGACTCGGATTTCTCTCCCTTTCCTTCGATTGGAACTACATCGCCTCGTTGGGCTCGCCACTATGGTATCCGCTGTATGCTATGACCAACAATTTCATCGGATACCTGGGCTGCATCATCCTCTTCATGGCCGTCTACTATGGCAATATCTGGCGTTCTCAAGACTTCCCGTTCTTGTCCCAGTTGCTCTATTACGGCGACTCCAACTCCACCTACTACAATGAGTACAACCAGACCCTGATCCTCAACTCCGAGTACATTGTCGACCCTGCGGCCCTCAAAGAGCAGGGTCTGCCCTGGCTGACTGGAACATACGTGGTCTACCTCATCACCTCGAACATGGGAGTGACCGCTACACTGACCCACATGCTCCTGTGGGATTTTGACGATATCAAGGTCGGCTGGGCCTGGGCTGCCCCTAGCAAACTCAAGAAATGGCTGAAGCTTGAGACCTACAAGTTCTGGAAGAACCAGGAAACCCCCGAGGAGCGTCTCGCACGACGCGTCAACGACGAAACACTCGATCCACACTACCGTCTTATGCTGCGCAACCTCTATCAGGATACTCCGCTGTGGTGGTGGGGAGCTGTGCTGATTGCGAGCTTTGCCGTTGGCTTAGGCTGCTTGTATGCGATGAAGTCTACGCTGCCGTGGTGGGGATTCATCGTCGGCAACATCCTCACGCTGGTGTTCATGCTCTTCTTCGGTGCGCAATACGGATTGACTGGGTTTCAGTTCAACGTTCAGCCTATCTGTCAGATGCTGGCAGGCTACATGTTCCCGGGGAAGCCGTTGGCTAGTAAGTGAACTTTCGCTTGAGTGTCTGACCCAGCTAACGTGCAGACCTCTACTTCACCTGCTTCACCTACAACTCGCTGCAGCAGGGACAGGTCTTGGCCAAGGATCTACGACTAGCGCAACAAGTGCATCTATCCCCGAAGTGCACCTTCTTCGTGCAAGTGATGGGCTGCATCATCGGTGCTCTATTCAACTACGTGATGATGCTGATGTATGCTCCCTACCTCCCTATACCCGACTTACCCCCACTAATTATGAACAGCATCGTCCGAAACCAATCCGAAGTACTCATCTCCATTGACGGCACCAACATCTGGAGTGGCGCCAATGTTCAAATAAGTCCCCCTATGCCATCCCACCATTTACCACCAAGCTAACACCCCCAAACCAATTCAACAGTCTCGCCATAGCCTGGAGCATCGCCAACGACATGTTCTCCATCGGCGGCCGCTACGAATGGGTCACAATAGCCTACCTCGTCGGCTTCATCGTGCCGGTACCCTTCTGGCTCGCCAACCGATATTACCCGCACCCAATTTTCTCATATCTCAACACCTCCATTATCCTCTGGTACATGGGTTGGTTGTTCGTGGGTATTAACGCCTCCATCATGTCGTACTTCCTGCTGGGATTTGCGGCCCAGTTCTGGCTCAGACGGTATCATCCCCAGCTGTTTAATAAGTATAATTATATTGTATCGGCGGCGTTGGATGGTGGCACGCAAATTTGTGTGTTTATTCTTACGTTTGCTGTGTTTGGGGGGAGTGGAGTGGAGCATGCATTTCCGTGAGTTACCCCTTTGGAGATATGGAGGGGAGGTATGATGGGTCAGTGCTAATGATGTGATAGGACTTGGGCGGGAAATCCCAATACCGATATTCATAATTTGGATTATTGCAAGGTCAATCCGGCGACTTTGTAAGTGAGTGGCAGATGTGCATGGGCTGGTAATGTCCGGTATGTGCAGGATGTAGGGGGTAGTTATGGTACTTTCTAACCCTATGAGGTGTAATGCCTTCAATGTGATACGTTATGAACCAATATACAAGGGATTAAATGGATGATAGCCTAGATCTGGCATCATAGTCCCAACCATCCGTAACAAACACTGCCTGTGATAGATTCTCGTTGGACTCGCTGAGAATGGCAACAAGGAGATACCAATCTCCAAGCCAAATAGAACAGACTACGGGTTCGGAATGTGATGTTATGAAGCCGACAACGACAATGAACCTGTAAAGAAATTCGTATCCTAACATATGCTCAATCTACATCAAACGCCTCATCTACTCCTTGGCCCCCACAAACGGACACCCCGAGGCAGTCTTCTCCTCACCCTCCACCTTAGTCTGCTCATGATCCTTGGCAATCTGGCGGAACATCTCCAGCGGATCGAACCACACATCAATGCGCTGCAGTTTGAGCGCATCATTGACCTTGGCGATCACGATACCCTGAATATCGATAGGTCCGCCGTGCGCAGCGATCTTGACCTTTTCTCCCTTGCTATACCATTATCAGTCCACATCCACACATAGATCACTGTTCGGGAGGAGGGTATGGAACATACTCATTAAATCCAACATAGTCCCTAGCCATAACACCCCAATGCCTCCACTTAAACACCACAACCGGCGGCCCACTGTATACCTCCAGGACCTCCCAGGCAAACGTCGGCATCATGCGCTTAAACGACTTGTGACTCGCCTCGAAATCATTATTGGCAGGATCGTAGTACGCACTCGGCGTAAGGAGGGCATTGTACGTGCCGACTTTCAGCATGTGTTCGCCGCTCAGCGGGGGCCCGCCGTTCAATGTGACGTGGTATGTCTCGTGGTCGATGGTGCGCCAGTCTGCGAGGTTGGTCTTGAAGGACGCTTCGATTTCCCAGTTCTTGACGAGGTTCTCGACGAGGAAGGGGAGGCTGCCGGATTCGTGGGTCATTTTCTTGGCTAGTGATTGGAATGGTTAGTATTGGTTTGGGAGGAGGTTGGACTGGCAGGGGGGTAGTACTCTCTTCGTAGTAGGCCCGGGTCTTGCTGTAGTCCGGGGGACCACCGTGACGCCAGGCGGCGTCTGTGTCGTTGAGGACCGCATTGGGGTCCAGAACGTAGTCGGGAAGTCCTGCTGCGTCGCCCATTGTGTGGTGGTGTATACTAGTGGAAATTGGGGAAATCTTGAGTAAAGAATCGACAGGGGTAGATAGCCAGACTATATATCCTCCGCCCCAGGCTAGAGTCTTGTCAGTCTCCGCCTCTCAGGAGACGTGGCCTATAACAATGGCCTCGGATTTTCTGAAGCCACTGCGACAATAGAATGCACTAATTTTGCCTAGCAGTGGGGGTGTCAGCCGGCTTAACGTCTGATTTAGTGTTGAAAATAGCGCACATGGCCTATCTATCTGGACCGGTTGCAAAAACGGCCAGGTCGCAGCCGTTTGTTATCGCGCTGGTTTAGTCTGGGACCGGTGGTAGTACTCATTCCAGGTGCAAGAACCAGAAGACTGATGGGAGGGGTCGGATGCATTGACCAGATAGAGGGGCCATTTTTGTTCATGGTTACACTGTACGTACTGGGTCCTTGTGGGAATCGTTGGATCGATGGATCGTCTTGGCCTCAGCTCGGTCTCCATCCGAGGCTGTCAGCCCCAACACCATCCAGTCCCGCGTTGCAAGAGATCCGTCCCCCCAAAAAGGTTAAGTAGGTCACTTTGTGCAAAATCTGTCATGTCGATCTCCTGCGACTGATGAAGAACCGACGCTTTTTTCTTTCGCTCAGTGACAATAGGCAGAATGTTATTGTATCGCCCAAATCATGCCATTGTCGCGTGTCTCCGACGGTGTTTCCTGCGATGCAGGGGTGAGATCTTAGGTCAACATCCGCGCTCCAATAAAGCAATCGCGCTTACACATCGTTCCGCACTTAACAAGCCATGGTGAGTTCTGAGAGGCACGTTTGGTCGAGGTGGATCAGATGTTTATTATAGACATTTTAGGGCGGCTGGCCGGTTTCCCGCCGGAGTCTGGCGGATAGAGCCACTCTCATCCCCGTGCGCCCTAATTGGCACATAGGCGTTGGGTGGAGATTCGGCCGACGCCCTCGTGGCCGCACAGAAGTCATGATTGGTGGTAGGTTCATATCGGAATAGATTGAATTAGATTGCTGGTGGTTCGTTCTTACCACCACACAGGGAGTTCTCTAATAAGCAGAATGTTACGATCGCGCAGCATGCCGTTATGAGTGAAATAACGCCCACAGTATATGATCTACCCCCTTATCCATTAAATTTGCCATTTGTGCCTGATACAGGCGCGGTACATGGCAAGTGAATACCAACAAACACACCACTTGGCTAGACCTTACTGACAGAACTTCATGAGGGTGATGGATCTACGGTTGGGCCCCTTCGACCCATGTCCTAGAACAAGTACTCCGTCTCTTGTGAGTATATTCCTCACACGATAATCAGTGGGTAGCCAAAGTATCCTCTTGCCTTGTAGAGTGACCCATTCGCGATTTTCCACGCGCAACTCTAATCCGGATTCGGGCTTAAGAGGAGAACTGTGGTACAACGGCGGTAGATCATACACCCCCTGACCAGTCTCCACAGACTGTCCATCACTAGAGAATACAAGCTTAGCGAAGGGCTTTTGCGTGTCGATAGTGTGCTGTAGGGTGCCAGTAGGAGGATCCCAGATCCTAATTATGCGGTCCGACCCAGTGGCTAGCCAACGTCCATCTGCAGAAAAGGCCACCAATCTACAGACCCACGAAGGGTGCTTGAGTATATGCAGTAAGGTACCTGTGGCCGGGTCCCAGAGTCTAACCGTTTTATCCTCGGAACCAGATGCCAGCCATCGACCATCTGGTGAAAATACAACTGTATAAACACCCCGTTCATGTCCCTCTAGGGTATGCTGTAGAGACCCCGTGACCGGATCCCAGATCTTGATGATGCCATCGATAGAGGAAGAAGCTAACTGTCGCACATCCGGCGAGAACGACAGTGAAATGACGGAACGCCTATGACCTTCAAGCGTATAGCGCAGTGCATCGTGTGCCGATCCCCATAGCTTGGTCTCTAGCTCCCAGATTTTGACGGTATCTCCAATCCCGCCAGATGCTAGCCATCTTCCATCTGGGGAGAAGGCCATAGAACTTAAAAAGCCATGGCTTTCAGCAGTATACTCCCGTTCCCCAAACGATGGCCTACAGGGAGGGGTATTCAGGTCCCAGAGTTTAATAGTCGCATCGTAGGCTCCCGAAGCCAGCCGCTGCTTATCGGGTGAAATGCTCACGCCGTGAACTGCACCGCTATGGCCCTCCAACATGTGTCGTAGAGTACGAGTGGACACGTCCCACACCTTTACACTGCAGGTAGTATTTGTCGATGAATAATACGCCAGGAGTCGCCCATCTTGTGAGAAGTTCAGCGCTGCGGCGCGATCTTGCATTACCCCAAGGGTCTGCTGCACAGTCCCGGTTGCTGTGTCCCAGAACATGACCGCGCCATTCGAGACTGCCAGTCGTCCATCTGGAGAGAAGGCTAGGTAACTAACCACTCTTGCCATTTTGTATGTATCCTGCAACGCTCCACTTGCTGTATTCCAGATCTTTACGGTTTTGTCCCAAGAGCCGGTTGCCAAACACTGACCGTCTGGCGAAAAGGCTACCGAGTAAACCCAGTCCTCATGCCCCCTCAAAGTCTGATGTGTGCAGCTCGTTATATCCCAAATCTTGGCAGTGTGATCGTAAGAGCCTGATGCCACCCTGCAATCATCTGGTGAGAAGCACACCGAGTATACATAGTGCTCATGACCCTTCAGCGTCTGATGCGTGCTAGTCGTCAGGTCCCAGACTCTGACAGTACGATCCCAGGATCCAGACACTAGCTTTCGGCCATCTGCCGAAAAGGCTATTGAGATGACTGAGTCATCGTGGCCTTCGAGGGTCTGCTGCAGAGTACTGGTAGCCGCGTCCCATATCTTAATAGTGTTATCCTCAGAGCCAGATGCCAGCCATTTGCCGTCCCTTGAAAAGGTTACCGCCCGAACAACAAAGCGTTTGTGGCCCTCAATCGTTTCCAGCTCCGCGTTCCAGGTGTCTTCTACCTCTGGTAGCCTGCTTATCCATCTGGGCATCTCATATGCCCTCCTGAGAATTGACTGTGACGGGGCGAATATCAGCCCTGAACAGTACAGCTGAAGTGGTGCTATATCAGCTATACGTCGACACTTTAGCATGAAGCGGAGGGCATCGTAAAGGAAGCTGGATATTGCAGATCCTTCCTGTTTCTATATTTGTCAGCTACTGTAGAAGGTGTCTCTCTCCAACACTCACCTCAATGAGCTTTCGTAACGTTTCGATATTTCCCACAATTTCAGATGCGTATCCAAGGACGCACATTGCTTCAGCCCAGTGGAGAAAATGTGCCTGGACAAAGGAATGGGTCTCCTCCAAGATTGACGATAGATTATTGCCGTGTGCTAGATGCAACGTCCAGTATCTGCAGGAGTATTCGAGTTCCGGTGGTATGTTGTCACGGATGACTTGTGCGGAGATATCATACCGCTCGAATCCTTCGTATGGCAGACTGCATATATTTCTCCTGAGCTTGCGTTGCATAACCTCAAGGCACCTTTGTGCAAGTCGTTGGTGCGTCTGGCCCCCGTCTATCCAAAACTCTGTTTTCTCCCGAGTTTCCGGGTCCAGAAGAAAGTCCCGGAACGACAGGTGGAAGAGTCCCACTGGCATGGTATCCCTATCCGGTATATTTAGCACTGCATGCAGTCGGCGCAGTCGGATGTTTATCACTCTCGGTGGAATACCCAGGATCTCTGAGAGACAGGCTACTGAGAGGGGTGACTCGAGAATTACGATAGTGCCCACCACTTCGCGAAATTCATCCACAATCATCTGTTT